CCCCAGGGGAGATGGCCACGTTGCAATCCCTTCTCCTCCATTCTCCTCTCGGGATCTTGGGCACGCACACACACGTGCCCGGTGTTAGTTTAAGCCACCAGGTACGGGACACGAACCACGGTCGACTACATGGGAGTCCAGAGACATAGCCATTACGCTAACTGCTGGTCCCAAGACTTCGTTTTCTTCACGGTACTTTCCCAGAAGGTTTCCGCAATACTTTCTGGCTATAAAGTGACAAACGTGTCACCTACCCTTTAGTTTTCAAGAAAATTCAACCACTTCTACCTCCCTAGAGCGGCCAGGCAAGGGGTCTGAGCTGCCCCACCCGGCCCCGGCCCCAAGCACGTGTGGGGTCTCAAGGCCTGGCCACGTCCGCAGCCTCCTCTGGTGGCATCAGTCTCATAAGCTCAGCTCCGCAGAGGCTGAAGGTTACAAGCTCAAACAGACAAGATGGAGGAAAGCAGGAAGGCCAAGAAGGCGGGTCTGGTCTAATTCTTGACTTAGCTTCAGAGACTCATATCTGAGTCCTCTTAAAAAATAAAGTGGGACCAGCAGTTAGCGTAATGGCTATGTTGCTGGACTCCCATGTAGTCGACCGTGGTTCGCGTCCCGGACCCGGTGGCTTAAACTCCACCACGGTCGTGTGTGCCCAAGATCCCGAGAGGAGAATGGAGGAGAAGGGATTGTGGGGTGGTCATCACCCCGGAGGGTGATATCTCGCTTTCTGTCTCTCTATCTCTCTCTGTCTGTCTGGCAAGCACACGCGCCCTATAGCAAAAATCTCTCAAAAAATAAAAGAAGATAAAAGAGGATGTCATTGGAGCCAGCAGGTGGCATGGTGGTTAAGGCACTGGACTCTTACATGGCTGACCATAGTTCAAGTCTCAGATTCAGTGACCTGAAACTCACGGTGGGCCCGTGTGCATGCATGCATCCTGTATCTGTCTGTCTGTCTCTCTCTCCTGCAAGCACACACACTCCATGGCAAAAACCTAAAAGGAAACCGAAACAAACAAAAGGATGTTGTAGATAGAAAATGAGGAGTTAAGATTTTTTTAAATTATTCATTTCTTCTGTGACAGAGACCGAGAGAGAGAAGAGGCCCCAGCAGGGTTCTCACACCACAGCCCACCCCCACCGCCAGCCAGCCCAGATCCTGGACACACACGGGCACACACAGCCATTGTGCACAGGGAACAGGGAGGCTCTGGGTTGTGAACCTGGGACCATTCCGCGAGGGTGTATCCTCTCAGAGGGCTGCACTCCCACTGTGCCGCTATGGCCCCGGGAGCTCTTTCTCACTGTGGGTAGAGATGTGTGGGCACCCAGGAGCCACACAGGGGAGAGAGGCACCCTCCACCTCTGGGGAACACCATGCAGTGGGGCCCAGCGGCACCAGGGCAGAAGGCGCTGCTGCAGCCCCTCCGGAGAGGCGGGCTGACGGGGCCCAGCGGGATGGCAGCACCACGGACAGGGGGAAGGGGTGGAGCCGAGGAGGAGACCGTGGAGGGGCAGCTGTGGGACTGAGCAGAGATCTGCTCCTGAGCACGTGCAAGACTCCCCACTGGGGGCTGAGGCGCGCCAGGGGGTGGCTGGGGTATGAGCTGGGGACACCGGTCCTATGGCTGTTGGTATAAATCCCACCCGCAGCCTGGTGGGGCCGAGGGAAATTCAGATGACACAGGATTGATGGGGGCCCAGCTTAGGTAATTCATTATTTAAGAAGTGAACGGCTGTGATGTTTCCAAATACGGCGGGAACTCAGCGGCCGGAACTCAGCGGCCGGAACTCAGCGGCTCCGTACAGCTCGAACCACGCGTATTTCGTGATTTAAGTTGATATACATAGATTTGTACTCTTGGTTTGAAGTATTTAAAAAATGGAACACTGGATCAAACCTAATAAAGCTATTTATCAAATATCACCAGTGGGGACTTTGGAATTATATTAGAATAAAGAGTTACAGGGAATTTGCAACTTTGCAAATACATGCTTTCAGTAGGGGCTAAAAATCTTTCTTCTGAATAAATTAAACAAAGAGTGATCCCCTCTTGGCTGAAGGAAAGGTTAAGGCGCTGGACTCCGCATGGCTGACTGCGGTTTGAGTCCCGGACCTGGTGACTTTTTATTTTCTACGAAACTGGAAACGAGAGAGCCCATGTAAGTGATTAACCCCCCTAGTACTCAAAGCAATTCTGCTTGCCTTTACAATGAAGGGTCAGCCCAGGTACAAAGCAGAAAAGCCATCCCTTGACCCTCTGCCTTTCCATCACTTGCGAGCAAAGACCGGAAACAGAATGAATGCTAAAGCTCCCGAATGCCAACCGGCAAAACACAGTGGTTCTCGACAGTGGGGAAAGACTTCGGAATTTTCCTTAGGTATTTGTCATCCAACTGTCTTTTCATTCATACCATAAACCTTTTCTGGAAGTTTTATTTTATTTTATTAATTAATTTATTTTTTAGAGAGAGATTTCTGCTATAGGGTGCATGCACTCACTACAGAGACAGAGAGAGACAAAGAGACAGACAGTGAGAAATCACCCTCTAGGAAGGTTGCCCACGCCGCAATCCCTTCTCCTCCATGCTCCTCTCGGGATTTTGGGCACACATGTACATGCGCCCAGAATGAATTTTAAGCCACCAGGTCTAGGGCTCAAACCACAGTCAACTACGTGGGAGTCCAGGGACATAACCATTATGCCATCTGCTGGTTCTGGTTTTATTTAAGTCCAAACAGCATAACAATAACCAGGAGTGCTAAATATCTGACCTTGGAGTTCCTTCATTATCTAAAACACCTCCCAACTTAGCAGGAAAAAGAATTATTTTTCCACGTCATCCTCCCTGTTTTCATTACTCCTTCGACCCTTTACTGCCCTGGGTCTGTTTCCTGTTTTCCTGAACAACACTCATTAAGGCAAATCAGCACTGTGTCTGGGACACTTGGTGAAAACCGGTTGCCAGGGAAGCATGCGCACTGCCGGGAGCCACCACGCTAACCCGGGCCGCGAGGACAGAGCAGTGAGGGTCGCCTCCTAGATGTCGGTGACCCTGACGTGCACCCACAGGCACACCCACCAAGCAGCAGCACTGCGTTTCACCTAGACTGTTGTTCAGAGAAGTCGGGGTCATGTTTCTGCTATTCATCTCCCCCGCACCCACCCCAGCTGGCTGGCTTTCTTTTTCCTTTCTCTCCCCCAGCTCCCCAATTCCTGGACAAGACGGAAATGTTCCTGAGGTGCCTGCAGGTTTTCTTCATGCAAAACAGCCTGTGAATAGCACGGGCGATGCTGTGCAGAAGCTGGCGATGAACCAGCCCTTCCGGAAAAAAACGCCCTCTCCAGAATATTCCGACACGGCATTCAAGGGATGAAGCAATTACATTGGGCCTAAATTGGGGAGTTCCAGGAGCATGGGGGCGATGAGTCAGCCCCTGGTCGTCAGCACTCCCCACCTGCTGCTGGCCTGTCCCACATCATCACGCGGACATGGGCCATTTCTCCTGGGTTTCCTGCTCAATAAAATATCCTCTCTTTTGGGTCCTTTCTTTCAACTTACTTCCCTGCTATTTTGTCAAATGAAAGAAATGTACATCCCTTTGAAATTGTGTTATTTAAGAGTATTTGGGTTGTGTCAGAAATTGACAACTAGTTATTATTTATTTATCGCATAATAAACAACTTCATTAAAAGCGCTCCCACACTCTCCACTGCTCTGCTGTCCCTCATCTGCAGGTTCATCACGTACACTCGCACAGCCACAGCGGGCCAAGAACAGAAAGGATGGATGATAAACCCATTTTGTTTTCTGTTCCTTAAAAAAAAAAGTTTCCTATGCCTAGAAGAATAAAGAATTTTCAGTGTCTTTGCTTTTCATACAAATTCCAAATCAGAAAAGACATCGTTTTCGTTAGTTTGCAATGAATTGTGGGTGAGACTTAACGGCATTTCAGGGCATCTTTCCAGCTGTCTCCCCATAACCTTAGGAGGGACCGTAGTTTGAAGCCAGGAGAGGCCAAGCGCCACCGGCAGCTCAGAGGGAGGGGAGCAGACACTGTGGTTTCTTACGAGCCTACGTGTGCCCAGCCCGCCTCTGTGGAGGTCCTCTCCCTCACTCTCCTCCTCCAGGATTTTCCTAGGCGGTACAGTGCAACTTAAAATGCACTGTGAGGGCCAGCAGATGGTGTAGAGGTTATGTTGCTGGACTCCCACATTCGCCGACTGTGGTTCAAGTCCCAGACCTGGTAGCTTGAAATTCATACCAGGCATGTGTGCATGCATGCACAAGATCCCGTGAGGAGAAGGGATTGTGGTGTGGCCATTCCCCCTGGGGGGTGATTTCTCACTTTCCTCTCACTGTCTCTCCCTTTCCCCACCCCCCAGTGCACGTGCCCCAAGGCAATAACCTCTAGTAAATAAATAAATAGACTGTGATGGTCTGCTTGGGGTAACATGACTGGATTAGGAATACAGAGAAAAGGTCTTACTCGGGGTGTGTCCAAGGGCGTGTTTCCAGAAGGACTGAAGTGTGGGTCTGCATGGGCTGGATGTGGCTGATCCACCCACACATGAGCCTATCAACCAGGGACCCAGACAGAGTAAATACAGAAGACGCGTGTCTCTTCTGAGTCAGAGCGAGACACCTTCTTCTATTGCCTGGAACACCAGAACTCAGGGCTCGTCGGCCTTCAGGGTCCTGAGGTCATACCAGGGGTCCCAGTTCTCAGGCTGTCAGCCACGTGGTCCCATCATGGGCTTCCCTGCCTCAGGGCCTCTGGATTCGGACTGAGCCATGCCACCAGACCCCAGGGTCTCCAGCTTGCTGACGGCTGCTGTGGGACTCAGCTGCCACGCTCATGTGAGGGCCTCCCCGGCAAGTCCCCCCATAGATGCCTACACAGCCCTGCTGGTCCTGTCTGCCTAGAGGACATCTCAGCGACATAGAGCTACGCTGTCACCGCCATGAAGACACAGACGAACCTGGTCCTCGGAGAGCCTAGGGCCAAGCGGGCGAGCAGTTTCCTAACTGCAGGTTGGCATGTTCCACTCTCCCATCGGAAGCTGTGATAACCTCCCTGGGAAATTCTGTCTTTACTCCCCTGGAAATGACCGTCCTCGACTCGGACGTGGACCTATTCAACCACCAGCTCATTCCTACACCTTCACACAAGTACAGGTCTGTGTCACAAAGAAGCCAGGACTGGTGTCATCTCTGGGGACAGTTCACAACAGGCACCACCTCACGAGCAGACACAGGTGGCCAGAGCACATGGGAGGGAGGTCACCAAGCAGCCAGCTAGCTGCATGTGACCTGGGGGCCCCAGTGGGGAGCAGAGCCAGGCTTCCAGATGCACTGAAAAGACAGCTGCTCTCCTGCCTGCCTCAGAGCAGCAGTATTTAAGAATTTAACACCTAACTACAATCGGGTTTTACCCATCCCGGAGTAAAAGCCTGGTTTCTGGCAATAAAAAGGCTTTGCCAAGTCATTTCTCTGTATTTCATTCAGCCTTGCTAATGCATCCTGTCCTACCAGGAGAAGCTTGATGGGGAGCTCGAGTAATCCTTTTAGGACAGATAAGAACACTCTGCCCAGGCTCCCAGGGTGTTTCTTTATGATGGGATTTGTTCTCTGCTATTGCCTTGAGATTAGTGACTGATGACCTGATCTAAACCCCCTCAAAAACTCTCTAAAACTGACGTAACTAATAGGTAACGCTCTCCCGTAAGACGGCTCTAAGGCCCTCCACAATAATACGCCACCAGCGAATGCTTCAGGCCCCGTGTTGGGCTGCTCCTTGTTGCAGGATGGAACACCTGCGTGGACCATTCCTCTCACCCATGCTCCCCATGTGTTGCGCCGGGTCCCTGGACAGCCCGCTAGAACACGGCTCGCCGGGCCCCACTCTGGAGTGCCTGATGCAGCGGGTCTAGGAGGAGGCCGGGATGTGCATTTCTAACTCACTCCCAGGACGACTCTGACACCCCGGCACTGCTCCGCTGGGAGGGGCCACGACATGCACCTGGAATGCTTTCTCCCCGGTAAGCTCTTCTCCAATCCTGTCAAACCCTAGGGGGCCAGGGACAGCCAGGCCTCCTTCCTCTTCCCTGGCTCTGAGAAGGCCCACTGAGGAAGAGGGAGTGAATGCCGGACACCCTGGCTGCCTCTTTCCTCTTTTGCTTGCACATCCATGAAGGATAGCCGGGAACGCACCTGGTTCTGCCTACAGCTCTCTCAGCTTTGGGGCAATGTTCTCCCTGGCTGTGGCCTGCGGTGCTGGCATGGGTTTCACTCGAGTAGCCAATTCTAACACTCAGGATTTGAGCTTAGCAAAAGGGAGGACAGAAGTGAAGTACACTCTCTACCGAGGTTCCAGTCCCCATCCTGAGCTGCAAAGGAAGCACCCCTGTTTTCCTTCACAAAAGCACAGGCTTCCCTCGGGGACCCAGAGAGATGAGGCGCAGATGGGCCAGGGGCACTGAAGCCCCCACCTAATTACAGGACTAAGGCCATCTTTCCTTTTTCTTTTTTTTTTCTTTAAAGAATTATTTATTAGGGCTGACAGGTGGCATAGTAGCTAAGGTGCTGGACTCCCACACGGCCGACTGAGGTTCAAGTCCTGGACCTGGAGGCTTGCTTTCTCACTTTCTCTCTCTCTTTGTCTCATCTCTCTCTGGTCAAATATAATAATAATAATAAATAATTATTTTAAAAAATATTTATTTAGGGGTCAGCAGGTGGCGTGGTGGCTAAGGTGTTGGGCTCCCACATGGCCAGTTGCAGTTTGAGTCCCAGATCTGGTAGCTTGCTTTTCTACTTTCCCTCTCTTTCTATCTCTCTCTGTTCAAATAAAAATAATAATAATAATAATAAAAGTTTTAAAAAGAATTCATTTTATTTTTAATTATTATTTTTAAAATTTACAACAGGGTGCATGTGCTCAAGACACACACACAGAAAAAACCACCAGGTCCAGAACTTGAACCATGGTCAGCCATGTGGTAGTTCAGAGCCGTAACCACCAGGCTGGCCCGAACTAAGACCCTCTTAACAAAACTCCACTTGGACTCCCAATGCTCAGCTTCCAACGCCAGCTACTCTGCAAAACCTTCCCTGCCTGTACTTCTGAAGGACACGCCTCCGCCTACTTGTACATGAGTCCTTCTCAGTGTCTGCTCCAGGCCTGTGCCCCCTGAACTGTACGTGGAAAGTACTCACGGAATAGTGGCTGAATTTAAGGGAAACGTGCAGTTGAACAGTGCACACCGGAGGCGCACCGTCACCAAAGCAGAAGTCAGAGGAAGTCCATCTCAACAGCATTTCCTCCTGGAAGTTTTTTCCACAACAAAGTCTGTCCGAAAATGCCCTTCAGGAGAATCAGCACGTGCCGAAAGACCTTTCATCGTGCTTCTGCACATTTCCAAACATTCTACCTATTGTTGGCAGTGCATTTATTATATAATGTATATGTCCCCTAAAAACGTTCAATAGTGAAACGAAAATTAAGCTGGGGAAATAACGCAGAAGTTGACGTTCTTGATGATTCCCTTCGTTTACAGAAGCACGGTCGCTACTTAGCTCAGAGGATCAAAAAATAATAAAATAAAATAATATAATACAACATAAAATAAAATAATGGCGGCATTGAGTACATTTTTCTTTCACGAGAACAAGAAGGCCACTGACCTCAGAATGAGCTGTAACATCACGTCCTCACAATGCAAGCCGATGAGAGTTCTGAACAGCGCCAGGGACACCACGCAAAGCTGGGGAGGAAGAGCACAGTCTACTCAGATCTCGGCACGGGGACGCCGCCCTCACAGGTGGGCAATCAGTCAGGATCACAATACGAAACGACCTCTTTTTATTTTTTTCCTATTAAAGCAGTTTTAATAAAAAGCATGCTACTGCAGAGAGAATGTGCATTCAGAATCCCGGGCCTTCTTAGGGGATTTGGTCCGAAAGCCAGTGGGTCGAATGAGGCCATTATGTAGGACGAGCCTTCTACAAGAATGCCTGTGTTAGTCCCAGCTTTTAAAGATCAAGATAAACATAGCCCCTGTCTCCCCAGTACACACACGCGTGTACACACGCACACGCGCACACACTCAGACGCAGCGGTCTCATGTTTAGGCCATTTATTTCTTGAGTTACTTTCAAATATGACATTGGTTATTTCTAGGACAGACTCAGAAAACTGCACATCAGCTGTACGAGCCTCACTTTAGAGTTCTCTACTCCAGTCCTGCCAAACCCCAGGGGACCAGCTGACATCTCCCCTCGTGTCTTTTTTTTTTTTTTTGCTATACAGTGCATGCACTCACCAGAGAGACAGAAAGCAAGAAATCACCCCCCAGGGGGGATGGCCACGCCGCAATCCCTTTTCCTCCATTCTCCTCTCGGGATCTTGGGCACGCACGCACACGCGCCCGGCCTGAGTTTAAGCCACCGGGTCCAGGACTCAAACCACGGTCGACCACATGGGAGTCCAGCGACATAGCCATGATGCCAACTGCTGGTCTCCCTGTTTTAGTTTAGAGCAAATATTCATGTCTCATAGTGCTGAGGGCATGGTGCTGTACTTATTTCTAAGAAGTTCATTAGAAAACAAGAACTTTTTTTTTCTATCTCAGATTTCCAAAGGAGAAATAAACTACCAAATGGGAAGATATCCAAAGGTGTATTATAAGATCATTTTCTCCTTTTCATCAATTTATCAATCTACTAGGCCATGGAAGTTATTTAGGCTCTCATTCTTTGCACAAGAGGATAAATGCTACTCTGTGTCTGAGGCTTGAAACCTGGTCAATAAAATGCACAATGATGTAGAGAAATAGCTGCACTTGGCCTGCCCCAAACATCTCTTATAACCAGGACAGTTCCTACTGTAACTACACGGTAGTTAGCCAAACGCAACACTCTGTCCCCCTGCAGGTCTGTTGCAATGGCTCTTTCTTTACCTGGAATGCCTTCTCCTGCTTCCTCCTCAGGCTAACTCCTATTTATCCTCAAAGACTTAGCTTAGGGGGACCAGCAGTTAGTGTAATGGCTATGTCATTGGACTCCCATGTAGTCAACCATGGTTCAAGTCCCAGCTTAAACTCACGCCGAGCGTGTGTGCGTGCGTGCCCAAGATCCCAAGAGGAGAATGGAGGAGAAGGGATTGTGGCGTGGCCATCCCCCCTGGGGGTGATTGCTCGTTTTCTGTCTCTCTGTCTCTCTCTGTCTTTCTGGTGAGTGCACACGCCCTATAGCAAAAACCTCTCCAAAAAAAGAAAAAACAAAAGACTTCGCTTAGGCACCAAATTCCCTAGGAGATCTCTCTGCTCCTCACAATTCTATCACCCAGCACCTGCTTCTTATCCATGCCCCAGTAACCCCTGCAAATCCCCACTAAGGGTGTGCACCGGGTGTATTTGCCTTTTTGTTACTGACTTGGAAGACTTCATTATTCTACATACAAGTATCTCAAATACACGGTCTGCAAAAACATCCTACCATTTTGTGGATTGTCTTTTCTTTTTTTTTTTTTTTTTTAAGAATTATTTTTTTTCATTTTTCTTTTTTTTAAGAATTATTTATTTTCATTTTACTTATTTATTTTAATTTGACTAGAGAGAGACACACAGAGAGAAAGTGAGAAAGCAAGTCAACAGGTCTGGGACTTGAACAGTGGTCTGCCATGTGAGAGTGTCCAGCACCTTAACCACCACCCCACCTGCTAACCCTGTGGGTTGTCTTCTTTAATTTCTTGATTGTATCCTTTGCGAGCACAACATTTTAAATTATTTTAATCTTGATGAGGCCCAACTTATCTCTGTCTTCTGTTGTTGCTGGTGCTTTTGTTGTCATGTGTAAGAAACCATTGGCAAGGCCACGTGGATCTACTCCTCCCTTCTTTTCTAAGAGCTTTTTGGTTTTAGTCCTTACATTCAGGTCTTTGATCCATTTTGATTAATTTTCTTATATGATGTCAGATAGGATTTTTCATTATTTTGCATGTGAATATCCAATTGTCCCAGCACCATTTATCGAAGAGATTCTTCTTTCTCCCAGAAAATGGTCTTGGAACCCTTGTTGAAAACCCATTAACCACAGATGTAAGGGTTATTTCTGGACTCTCAGTTCTATTCCACTGATCTGTGTGTGTCATCCTATACCAATATCACACTGCTTTGACGACTATAGCTTTGTAGTAGGTTTTGAAATCAAGAAGTGTGGGTTCTCCAACTCTGTTCATTTTCAACCTTGTTTTGACCATCATGGGCCCCTTGCATTTCCATATGAGTTTTAGAATCAGTTTGTCAATTTCAATAAAGAAGTCAGCTAAGAGCATTATAGAGAACACAATCAGTTTCACAGAAATCTATGCAGTGGTCTCACAATAACACTATCAAGTCTTCTAGTCAATGAACATGGGATGTTTTTGCATTCATTGAGGTCTTCTTTAATCTCTTGCAACATTGCTTTGTACTTTTCATACAAGTTTTATACTTTGTTGTGAAATTATTACTAAATATTTTATTAATGTTGGTGCTATCAAGAATGAGATTGTTTTCTTAATGTGATCTTCAGACTGCTCAGAAATAAAATTGATTTTTGTACATTAAACTTGTATACTGAAACTTATCAAACTCATTATTAGTTCTAATAGCTTTCTAATGGATTCTTTAGGTATTTTTTGTTTTCTGTGCAAAACAGTGCATGCACTCACCAGAAAGAGGGAGAGAAGAAAGCACATCCCACCCCCATGGGGAATGGTAACGTCGCAATCCTTTCTCCTCCATTTCTCTCTCCCTCCTTTCAGGATTTTGGACATACATATGCCCAGCATGTTTCTTGAGCCGCCAGGTCTGGTGTTCAAATCATGCAGTTGGTCAGGTGGGATCCAGCTGCCTAAACCACCATGCCACAAAACCCTCCCTCATCCTTGGTTTTCTACATACAGGATTATATCATCTACAAATACAAATAGCTTTACTCCTGATCTGTATTTTTTTATTTCATTTTCTTGTTTAATTGTCCTATCTAGAACTATTTTGAGCAGAATTAAGGAGAGCAGACATCTTTTTTTTCATCCCTTATCTTAGATGAAATATTTCTTCGCCATTCAGTATGGCTAATTTGAGTTTTTCATAGATGCCTTTCATCAGATTGAGAAAGTTCCTTTCCATTCCTAATTTGTTGGTATGTTCATTATGAAGAAGTGATGAATTTTGTCAAATGTTTTTTCTGTGTCTCCTGAAATTATATGATTTTTTTTCTTTATCCTATTGATATGATATATGACGTTAACTGATTTTCAGATTTTAAAATCCTGGCTTGATAAAGCTCATGTGATCATGGTATATCGTCCTTTTTATATGCTCTAGGTTCCATTAGTCAATGTTTTCTTAAGAATTTGTGTGCCTCTACTCATAACAAAATCTTGTCTCTAGTTTTCTTGTGATAGCTTTATCTGGTTTGGGAATCAGGATAAATCTGGCCTCAAATAATGAGTTGGGATGTATGCCTTCCTATGTTGGGGGAAGATTTTGTGAAGAATTTTTATTATTCTTTTTAAAACATTGTAGTAAAGGACTGGCTAGGTGGCAGAGAGGTGATGTGTTTGCTTAAGAGGTGCTGGATACACGCAGAGGATTGTGGGTTTGAGTCCTGGGTCGACCTGAATGTGCCTGACACCTATGCCTATGATCTGACTGGCTGGGAAAACTAGGGCTGGATTGCAATTCCTTTCTCTGTCTCCATCTCTTACTCTCACAAAAAAATAAATAAATAAACTTACAAAACAAAGTACAATGGTGGTTAAAAACACACATAAACACACATAAAATGTAACATCTTAATGATTTTGAAAGTGTGTAATTCGGTAACGTTAAGTATACTCACACTGTGGTACAATGAACATTTTGTGGGGCCGGCAGGAGGCGTGGTGGTTGGGGACACTGGACTCCCACATGGCCAACTGTGCTTTGAGTCCCGGACCTGTGGCTTGCTTTCTCACTTTCCCCCTTTCTCTCTCTCCCTCTGTCCCTCTCTTGTCAAATTTAAATAAATAAATAACTAGAGTTGAATAAAAGAATTAAAATAAATCAAATAAAAGGCATCAATAAAATCAAAGGAATTCCTATTTGAACAGGACCGGTTACTCTAAACATCTCTGAAAAAAACATTTACATTTTGCAAAACTGAATCTCATTAACCACTCCACAACTCCCCATCCCACTACCCAGCCCCTGGCAACCACATTCTACTTTCTGGTTTTATACATCTGATTACTTTAGATACCTCCCAGGAGTGGAGCTTGTTTCCTTATTTATTTATTTATTTATTTATTTATTTATTTATTTATTTATTTAGGAGAGGTTTTTGCTATAGGATGCGTGCGCTCATCAGACAGACAGAGACAGACAGAGAGACAGAAAGCGAGAAATCACCCCCCAGGGGGGATGGTCACGCCGCAATCCCTTCTCCTCTATTCTCCTCTCGGGATCTTGGGCACGCACACACACGCGCCCGGCGTGAGTTTTAAACCACCGGGTCTGGGACTCGAACCGCGGTCGACTACGTGGGAGTCCAGCGACATAGCCATTACACCAACTGCTGGTCCCAGGAGCTTGTTTCACTTAACATCACAGCCGCATGACAGATTTCCTTTTTCAAGGCTGAATAACATTCCACTATATGTTTACAAGACATTTTCTTCATCCATTCCCCGTCCATCAGTACACATCTAGGTGGCTTTAACCTCTTGGCTACTGCAAACACTGCCAAGAACATAGGTGTGCAAATACCCCTTCAAGAGTCTGTTTTCAGGTGTTTTCTATATACATCCAGGAGTGGAATTGCTGGATCATAGGTGGGGACTTCAAAAAGTTTGTGGAAAGTGTGTCTTAATAAGAAACACTATGCGTGCATTTCAATTGTTTCTTCACACCAAAATAAACTCATACTTGAATTGCATTTTTCCATGAGCTTTTCACCCCTGACATGTGGTAATTCTATTTTGACTTTTCTAAGGAACCCCCGTGTGTCTCCACAGTGGCTGAACCACTCCCACACTCCGACAGGCACAGGTCCCAGTGCTGTTCCTTGCGTTCCGGATGGCCTGTAGCTATTCAGCTCCTTTCTCCCCAGTGAAGAGACAGAACGCCAGGCCCAAAGTTCAGTCTTCTCCTTCTTCCCGAGGGAAGAATAGGGATCTGGGGGTTTCCTCCTGATCTCGTCACCTGTGGCAGAGAAGGGCAGTAGCGAGGGCAGGTAATAGGTCACAAATTTTCTCGCCCATCTCATAATTCTTTTCTTAGTCTGGTGCTGCAACCTCTTAACTGGTTTCTGGAATTCTCACAAAGGCAATTTAGTTCATCACGTTTTGTTAAGTCAGTGTCTCTGCAGAGGTAGGAGAGACCTCAGTGTCTCTGCAGAGGTAGGAGAGGCCTGGGGCTTCGTATCCCGCCATCTCGCTGACATTACTTTTTAATTATTCTTTAAATGTGCAGAAGAATTCACCAGTGAGACCATCTAAGTTTGGGCTTTTCTTTGTGCGTAGGTTTTTAATTACTCTTTTAATTGCTGAGCTTGTTATAAATCTATACAGGTTTTCTATTTCTTCTTGAATCGTTTATGCAAGTTGGTGTCTTTCTGGAGTTTGTTTCATCTAAGTTATTCTGTAGCATACAAATGTCCGTAGCATTCCTCTTTGCTCCTCTGCATTTCTGTAAGGTCGATAGTCCTGTCCCATTTTTCATTCTTGCTTTTAGGAATTCAAGCCTTCTCTCGTTTCCTCTTTTAGGAATTCTAATCTTTTCCTCTTTGTTAGCCTGGACAGAGGTTTGTTGATTTTGTCAGTCTTTTCAAAGAACCAACTTTTGGCTTCATCCATTTTCCTCTATTATTTTTCTATTAATTTCTGCTCCAATCCTTAGGCTTTTATTTTCTCTACTTGCTTTGAATTTGTTCTTCTTTTTCCAGTATGTTAAAGTAGAAGGTTAGATTAGGAACTTTAGATCTTTCTTCTCCTCTTCTTCTTTTTCTTTTTCTCCTTTTTTCCTTCATCATCATCTTCTTCTTATAACTTACAGTTTTGTTATAATATTGTTACAGTGAGATCTACACACATATACAGAATTATTATATTTAAATTCATACCAAATATTTACATTTTTGGAGGACCAATGGATGGTGTAATGCTTACATCACTGAACTCTGATACAGTCGTCTGAGGTTCAAGTCCCAGAACCAGCAGCTTAAAACTCATGCCAGGCACGTACGCATGCATACCCAAGATCCTGAGAGGAGAAGGGACTGTGAGGTAGCTATCACTCCCCGGGGGGGGAGGTGATTTCTTGCTTTCTGTCTTTCTGTCTCTCCAGTGAGAGCACGTTGCCTATTATAAAAATCTCCCTTAAAAAATGTATATCTTAAAGTGATATTTTTGAAGTAACTCTTAAGTTTTATAACAAAGAAAACACAAATATGCATGACCGAAAGTAGAGTGAACAGTAAAAATACAATTCTCTGTTCATGATAAAATATGTAGAAACTCTTTGTCAGAAAGCTACCTCTTCTTGATCAGATTGTGCGGATCACTGAAGTATTCATGAGTCAGTGTCGTGTTGCCAGAAATTCATTTGGCAGGATCACAAACCAACATTTTTGAGAGCAGCATCCACCATTTTCATCCAAGTTGTACACATGGGATGCCAGGCTTCCTGGTTTTCATTGCATCTCCTGAATTTCAGTACGTGGTATCTTCATTCCCGTTCATCTCAGAGCAAACTCTCATCGCTTTCGGGCCTTCTTCTCTGACCTAGTGGTTATTTTAGGTGTGTTGTTTAATTTCTATACATTTGTGAATTTCCCAAATTCTCTTTGTTAATCATTTTTTATTTCAATCTATTGTGATCAGAGAACATGACGGGCATGATTTCAGTCCTTTTAAGTTCATCGAAACTTGGGAAATGTATTCCTAGGGTCCTGTAAAAACTCCACTTCTGGCCACACGTCAATACTGGGAGTGCCCAAATTTCTGAGAATCCTGAAGGCTTGATTTATTTCTGAACCCCCATCAAAGAAAAAAATGGCTGCTTAGTTGCTAATCCGGCAAACAATAGTGCCTATGCTTCAAATGTCCCGGGAGGCGAGCTGACTCAGCCATACTCCTAGGGCCGGTCCCAGGCCCTCACGGCCTCCTGTGCGCTCACTCACAGGTATTCCGAACCTCGGCCACGTCCCAAATCAGCCAATTGAATGTCACCTACCAATAAACCTGGAAGTTTCAAGTCTCTGTGAAGAATTCTTCTAGTAAGACAAACCACACTCCTCTCTAGGATTTGGTACAAATAACTCATTTCATTTATTTATTTATTTTTTAAATTTTGCTATAGGGCATGTGTGCTCACTGGAGAGAGAGAGAGAGAGAGAGAAATCATACCTCATGGGGGATGGCTACACCGCCATCCCCTCCACTCCATTCTTCAGGCTTATGGGTAAACATACACATGTGCCTAGCGTGTTCTTTAAGCCATGGGAGTCTACGATTTTTTTTTTTTTTGAGAGGTTTTCGCTATAGGGCGCGTGCACTCGCCAGACAGACAGAGACAGAAAGTGAGAAGTCACCCCCCGGGGGGATGGCCACGCTGCAATCCCTTCTCCTCCATTCTCCTCTTGGGATCTTGGGCACACACGCACACGCGCCCGGCATGAGTTTTAAGCCACCGGGTCTGGGACGCGAACTGCGGTCAACTATGTGGGAGTCCAGCAACATAGCCATTATGCTAACTGCTGGTCCCAGGGAGCCTACAATTTAAACAATGCCGGCACCCATGTGCAATCCTAAGCACCCTGCCACTGGCTGGCCCATAAATAGCTCTTAACAAGTGAAGAATCCATGAAGTGAGCAGAGGGGTACAGAATCCGAGTACTTCCTGAGATCCGTGAAATTCAAAGAGGAGATACCACCTGGACCCTTAGATCAGCCCCTGAGCCCGGATGTTTCCCAGCTCTGACTTCTCAGAAGGACATTCTGCAAGTTCTACAGAAGAAAGTGCCGACACGGAGAAAAACGTCCCAGGGAAGGTGGGAAGCGCTTCCTCCTTGACAGCAGGTCTCCTAGGGCAAGACCCGTGACCCAGTTCTTCTCTGCCCAAACGGAAGGCAATGGATTCAGAAAAGGGAGGAGGGGAAGGTGGGCGAGGGGAATAGTCATCATTTCCTCCCAAAAATGAGTTCTCCTGCCATCCGCACTGAGTCACGAGCCCCCTCTCGGCGGGGCTCCCTTACCCGGAATGGGGTGTTGATCCGGCTGGTGAGCGTGTCGAGGATGTGGACGTTCTCGTGTTGGTGAAGCAGGATAAACCGGAGGAAGATCTCCAGCAGCGCCGGCTCCGAGATGCTCCGCAGGAACAGGTCCAGGTACGCGGTGGTGGTCATGACCTCCTCCACCGTCACCTGCGCCAACGACAGAGCAGGCGCGGGTGAGCCTCTCGTCGCGACCCGGGGATACGCGCCTCCCCACGACCCCGGCCTCCCGGAGTGACCCCATCGGGGCCCGAACACGCCTGCCGAGAAAAGGCGCTCCGGAGGTCCATCTGGAGCTCGCGACCTCTTCACATGCCACGGGGCCTCCTGCGGCTCCCGCCCTCTAACGTGGGGTGGGAAAGCAAAAGGCAGAAGACAGAAGTGATTCAAGGCTTCTGACAACCCTGCTCATCAAACGCAGTTCAAACACCATAAAGATTTTTAGTGTGTAATCAAAAACGGAGAAAAAAGATAATGGAAACTATTTGCATGGTTAGTAAAGGATTAATTAGACATCTCTGTTCAGCTTGTTTCATTATTAGTCCCTCCATAAACATTTATTGTAGGTGCTATGTACAAGGGGCTGGGAACATCATAGAGTTTACCTCCAGGAAGATGGTCTATCACAAAATGATCATATAATAAATTGCTAAGGAGAAATACAGACCCCAAGAGCTGCAGATGTTCAGATGTGTTTCTGGAGGGTTCCAAGTCAATTCTTTACAATTGAGTAATATACACAGAGTGTTATTTATAAAGTGAGATGCAAAAGCTTAATGCATATAAAGTAACTGTGACTTTTTTACAATGCAAATTAATATTTTCTACCTGGAGTGATTTTCCCATGCACTAAAACATCAATTTTTCAGTGAATAAGCCTCTGAAAAGTCAAGTTTTAAAAAAGAGCTGAGGATTTGATGCTTAAGGCATCATAAAAGGGTTTTTTTTAAAAAAAGAATTATTTTATTTAACTATTTTTATTTATTATGATTATTTCTTAATATTTCCAGAGAGAGAGAGAGAGAAAGCAAGTCTCCAGGTCCTGGACTCAAACCATGGTCGGCCATGTAGAAGTCCAGCGCCTTTAACCACCACGCCACCTGTCGGCCCCAAGGTATCAAAATTTGAAACTTAAACATTTTGGTTGGGAATATTTGAAGAGCTGGTATCCCCCTTCTCTGTCTTCCTGAAAGCAGATCATGGCATCTCTTGATCAATGGAGGTCATCTCCGGGATCCTAAGGCCCACTGACAGACTCGAGGGGACGAACCAAGCCCCAGAGGGAGGGTGTGAACGTGCAGACTCGGCCACCACGCCCAAGAGAGGCCCCGCCAGGAGTCCACTGTGCTTGTTTTCAATAAAGCAGATGGCGGCCATGTCTGAGTGAGTGTACCTTCTCTTTCCAGTCCCCATCCTCCCTCTCCTCCCTTTAAAAAGTTAGCTGTTATTTTGTCGATATCATTACTGGGCCATTCTGACTACACTAAATTCCTCTCCCCTTTGAATTTTCTGCTTTCAAAATCCACAGATCAGCTTAGAAACCAGATGTCCAGAGCTCCTAATACGTACAGCATAGCCCTGAGTGGGTGTGTCTACGGACGCCGGCTGCTACTTTCTTTTTTTCTTTTTTTTCCAATTAATTCTTTTTTATTTCTTTCATTTATTTATTTTTACATTTTTCCACAAACATGTACTTTACATAGCAAAAAAATTTAGCTCATACTCCATAATCCTTGACAGTTTACAAACAACTTCTGTTTGGGCTGCTTAAATTGGTTGTTTTGGGGAACCAGCAGTTAGCATAATGGCTATGTCGCTGGACTCCCACGTAGTCGACCGCGGTTCGTGTCCCGGACCTGGTGGCTTAAAACTCACGCCGGGCGTGTGTGCGCACGTACCCAAGATCCTGAGAGGAGAATGGAGGAGAAGGGATTGCAGCGTGGCCATCCCCCCTGGGGGTTGATTTCTTGCTTTCTGTCTCTATGTCTCTCTGTCTGTCTGGCGAGCACATGCGCCCTACAGTGAAAAATCTCTCCAAAAAAAAAAAAAAATTGGTTGTTTTGGTTTTGATTTTTAGGTTTGGTTTTGTTTTACTGCTCACCAGAAAGACAGAGAGAGGGGAAGGGATAAAGTCTCCCCAGTGGGACATGGTCATACCACGACCCTTTCCCCTCCATGCCTCACCCCGTCGGGATTTGGGGCACACAGGTACAAGCACGAGGTATGCTTTTCAAGCCACTGGGGCTGGGACCTGAAGCATGTATGCAGTCAGCCAAGTGGAATCCAGCTCCCTTAACCCCAAGGCATGGAGCGGGACAGCTTAAATTACTTTTAAAAAGTTCTCAGTGCTCAAGCCAGTGTGGCATGGCAGCTATGGTGCTGGATTCCCACATGGCCCACCATGGTTCGAGTCCTGGACCCAGAGGCTTGAAACTCACGCAGGGCGCCTGTGCATGCATGCCCAGAGTCCCGAGGGGAGAATGGAGAAGGGGCTGCGGCGTGGCCATCCCCCTGGGGAATGATTTCTCGTTTTCTGTCTCTTTTGGTCTCTCCACCGAGTGTGTACACTCTAAGGCCAAAACCTAAAAATAAATAAGTTCTCAGTGCTCAACCACATTCTAGATGAATGATTCCAGGGCTGTTACCAGATCAGTTTTGTCTGCTGTCTGTACTCCCCGGCAGGCATGTCATGTGGTCTGTCTGCATCTGCTCTCCCGGAACCCACGTGCGCTCACCGGGCGGTGCACTGCCTGGCTGAGGACCAGCATCGGGAGCAGAGACCCTTCCCCGCAGCGGGGCACCAACACCACGCTCCTCACATATTCAACGCACCACCGTGTCACCCCACACCGCGGAGGCACCCCGCCAACTTTAAAGGCCTTCTGTGGCCCAAACCCGGCAACAGAAGCAGGTCAACCTCTGCTTTTTTTTTTTTTTTTTTTTTGTGGAGAGGTTTTTGCTATAGGGTACATGCGCTCACCAGAAAGACAGAGACAGAAAGCGAGAAATCACCCCCCAGGGGGGATGGCCATGCCACAATCCCTTCTCCTCCAGTCTCCTCTCGGGATCTTGGGCACACACGCACACGCGCCCAGCATGAGCTTAAGCCACTGGGTCCGGGACTCGAACCACAGTCGACTACATGGGAGTTCAGCGACATAGCCATTACGCTAACTGCTGGTTGCAGCCTCAGCTCTTGATAGATACATAACACCGAGAGGAGAGCCTGCTCCAGGCGGCCCTGCTGCTGAAACCACCCGCTGCTCCCCTGGGGTTTCCCGTGTTCTCCAGTCCCCTGCCACGGCATTCCCAATGCCGGCCTAGGCCCCACGCTGTGCCAGTGTGCAAGTCCTGGCACACAGACCACGCTTTCCCGAATGAAGGACAGCCCAGAGGATCTAGGGACTCACACCTGCCAGACCGGAACTTCACTCATCCTCCTTCTATTGAAAGGTTTTGCCACAGGATATGCGCCCGCCAGAGAGACAGAGAGAGGGGAAGTGAGAAATCACCCCCCGGAGGGTGACCACACTGCGATTCTTCTCCTCCATCCTCCTCTTGGGATTTGGGGCACATATACACACACATCTAGCTTGAGTTTCAAGCTGCAGGGTCCGGGATTCGAACTGCGATCAGCCACGTGAGATCCAACGTCTTAACCACCACACCACCTGCTGGCCCCACTTGTCTTCTTAATGTGCAGCCCCCACGTAGAGAGTAGAGACATGTGAAGGCCCCATGTAGAGAGTGGAGATGTCTTTATAACATTGTAACTGATGTCACCAGGTCCGGGGACAGTACATACTCACAACCCCAAACGTGTTCCCTGTAACTCGCACCCACTCCACTACTGCCTCATCGGGGTCCTTTACGGTCTAGGTCATGGTCTCATTCCATAGCAGTCTCCCTCACTAGGTCATGCGGTCCTTCCAAACGGGGCATGTGCCTGGTTCCATGACACGGCATGTCCCACCTCCTCCCAAGCACTGCACAGCTGAAGGGTGGCGCGGGGGCCCCTCTGTACTGAAAGCGCTGCGTCAGCCTTTCCCCCTGAGTCACACCGACCTCGATCAGCTCCAAAGCCCAGCCATAAACCCCTCGGAATTGAAGTCTCCGTCTTCGGGGGCCAACATGAAAGGAAGGGCATTAAGCTTCTATTGTTTACCACTCTAGGGCGGGATAAGTGAAAAGACTTTATTTCTTTTTTAGAAATCAAAGCCGTCATTTATAAGCTAAGAGGATTGAAGAAAGCACTCGGAAAGACAGCATTTACATAACGTGCTATAAATATTAAAAACCCGATCCCACGAAGCTTCAAGTTGCAAACTCTTTACATCAAGGTCACTCTCTCCTTAAACTGTGACCCAGACTGGGGACACCGGGTCCTTCCTGTGTCACCTCCCCCATCCACTGCATCCCCCCTCTGTACCTTAGAAGGCTTTGATCCCAGAGAATCTTTCCCTGCCCATTATCGGAGTCCAAGAAACTTCCTCTAATCCCCCCAAATGGGTAACCTCTTCAACGAGGATGAGGCCAGAGCCTGGCGTGATCACTTGAAAGCTACAACGAGGCCCCAGAGGAAGGACAGTCTGCCGTGCAGAATGGGGAGCGGAACCTTCCGCTGACGCCTGAGAAGTTCCAGCAAAGCAGGGAGGTGGGATTCTCTTTGCATTGCAGTGATGAAGGACAGCCATCGCCGCCGCCTTCGGCCTTGCAGATGACTGTCAACATGCGTTCCCTTGTCCTAGAAAGAGCGGGCTGGCCGGGGTAGCAAACGACGCTGCCTGACAACGCCACACACGATAGCTGAGTTAAAAAACACTAAAGCTTAAGGATGCTCTTGGCTAGTAAAAGCAGACCAGAGGACCGCGACAGCCGAAGGACAGTTCCGTTTCTACAAACAACGACCTTCGTCAGGATAAGATTAACCACCACCCGAAAGAACACCTGCCAGGGGGACCAGCAGGTGATGTAGTGGTTAAGGTGCTGGACTTCCACATGGCTGACCTGCGGCTCAAGTCCCAGACCCGGTGGTTTGAAAATCATGTCGGGCACTTGTGTGTGTCCAAACTCTCAGGAGGAGATGGGATTGTGGCATGGCCCTGGGAGGTGATGTTTCACTTTCCGTTTCACTGTCTCTCTCCAGTGCG